TTCTAGTTGCATGTGAGAGAAATGAAAGGTGCGTTCCTGGGGCCATGTGTACTCTTCCACAAAATCTGGTGGCGTGGAGACTGAGAAACTGTGCTCAGAGCTGGTGTATTGTGACAGCTGCAGCCTCAACTCCAAAACTATTTGATCTGACTGTTAATACCAAGATTTCACTTCCCATCCACCTCCTTTTTAAACTCACTCTCAAGCGTGCTGTCTTGTACCTTTGTCCAGCAGCTACTTCATTTTTTTCCCAATTTTTTTCCTAATTCCAGGCCTTTCAGTTTAGTGTGCATAACCTTGTGAAGAATGACAAAATTATTTCTTCTGGGGAGTTCGCTTCTTCCAAGGGTGATGGTTTTTATACCATGTGATGGAAGAAGATTTTGGTTTTTTCTTTGTTCAGACAGCTCTTCTATTTGAACAAATCTTGAGAAATTAATTAGATTACAAAATAAATGTATTTTTTTCTATTTTTGATAGACACTTCTGCATTTGTCACTGTAGGCTGCAGTAGAAGAAAGAAAATTGTTTTGCACTATGTAGCTGATTGATGATTTTTTCTTTTACATTATTGGAAATATCAAGGGTTCACGGAATATTCACTGTATCAGCAGCCTTGTATCTAATGAGGTTGTTTGGACATTGTTCTCTGAGCTGGAGTAAAATCTTTGGAATGTGTTGAAATTTAACTGTAAGTGGGGGAGGTTTTTTAACAGTGAGCTTTAGGTAAACTGCATCTTTTTAAATTTCCTGGGCAGCTGCCTTTCTCCCTTTGATGTACTGTGCCTGGTGATGCTGTTAATGAAATGCATAATTATGTGTTATATAATAAAACAGAGCTAACATGAAGGTGCCTAATAGATTATAATGATGTGGAGGCCTGAGAAACTAAGGACCATGGGGGTTGTTGAAAAGTGCCTCCGGTGACAAAGAAGATGTTTAAAGAGGTTTGAATAACTGTGCTGATAAATAAATTGTAGTCTCTCTGTGTGTAAACGACATTTTTCTAGATTTTGTATATAGAGAGAATATTGAAAAAAATAGGTACAGTTTACTAGGCTGCTGATGTATGAAGTGTCAGCGCCGAGTGCTTCCAGTGCCTATTAGTGCTGCTGGCTTTGCATAGGCGGGTGCCCTGGGCAAAGACATTTTTGGCACAGCCTGCCTCACCCACAGGACCAAAAGAAACTGAAAAAAAATCTGGCAATATGCACAGAGAGTAAACTGCGTTCTAAAGAGCAGCCCCTACAATTCAGTCTTGGAACAAGTATCGATAAATGAAACATCACGTTTAATGGCTGAAGAGTTGCAGGCATTTGATGGCTGCCCCTAACTTCCCCCTCTTCTTTCTCTGCTTTTGCCACCCATATTTTATCTCTCCCTCTATAATACTCTGTATAGCTTGTTCCTTTCTGAGATTCTTCAGGAACTGGTTTGAACACATAGGTGTTTTTAAAGGAGAGGCTGCATAAGCCTGCAGCCCTGGACCACATGGGCTCCTGATGGTGCTGGACTGTGGCTGAGCTTGCTTGGCTGCTGTTCTGGGCTCACAAGGACCTGTCTGCTGGGAGAATTAGCATGCAGGGAGCTTCAGTGTAAATTTACAGCCTGCTAGTTACTTGGCATTAATTCCCTTGGTGAATGATTCTAGTACTTACTAAGAGTGCTTTTGTGCAGGTTAGCTTTAAGAGTACTTTTGTGTGAGTTAGGTGGGCTCCTTTTTGAAGGTGAAGTATGCTGTTTTTCACTTTCCAGGCACCAAGGGTACCCAAATGGGCAGTTAGTGCAGAGTAGCTAATATGCAGTAAATTCACACCCAAGCTCACGAAGCATGAACTTCCTCATGCAGCCGAGTCCCGAGGCTCTGCACTTTGTCTCTCCCAGCAGGGAGCAGATGGCCCTTCTCTAACCACGGAATACTAATAAAGCCCTCTGAAGAGTACATATATGTGTGTGTAGGTTCATGCCTGTCCATATGTTTATATAAGATGACTTGAATCTATCACAGTTCTTGGATTAACTTGTTCTTTCTTGATTTTTGTCAAGATACCCTAAGGAGAACTTTGCTGCTGAATTGCCATCATCCTTGTCATTAATAGACTGAGGTTTTAGCTGCAGGTTTTGATGAATTCTTTCTTCTTCAGCACTAAGAGCAGCATACTTTTTCTTTTCAATATATGAGTGACTGCATCTTTTGTGTGTGAATCTTTCTTTGTTGCAATTCCCTTCCCCAGCATTTCTTATGTGATCTCTCGAGTTAATTCTAGTTTTTGATATGCTTTTATGCCTAATAAATGTTCCCTCACAACTTGAGAACCCCCAGTAAGAAGGAAATAAGATTTTCTCTAGCTCTTTAAGAACCTAGATGTGAAATCAAGTTAATTTTTTAATAAGACTTTTTCATTAGGCTTGGCTTCATAAATAACTCGATCTATAATTAGTGTACAACTTCACTTTAAGATCACATAATGGGTTAAATTTTCATGGAAGGTTTTCTTGGAATTTTATAAATGATTTTATCTCTTTTTTATGCTTACGCTTCAAATATATCGTTGATTTCTACGTCATCTGCAGATTTGCTTTGTGTTTTCACTCCAGTATTGCCTATTTCCAAGAAAATTTCCTTTCACAGAAGTTGCCTCTCCAGTTTCCATCTGTAGTGAGAGTTCAGCCCAGCTCCACCAGCTCTATTTTGGCCCAAGTTTAAATTTACTTACACACAAAAGATATTGCTCCAAATGCTTTTAACCTGTCTTTTTAAAAATGACCTCAGCCATACTAGCCTGCCAAAGATAAACAGCATTTCTGCTCAACAGGCATTAACTCTTGGAGGAAGTGAAGTCCAGTGCTGAACCCAGAGGCACTTGCTCTGAGCATTCAGTGAGCTGTTGTAAAGAGGAGCCATCCTGCCCCCAGATGCCAGCACTCAGGAAGGCTGCAGGGCTGAGGAAAATCAGCACAAGCCTGAAGGTTTCTCAGTTGCAGGTGTAAAATGCTGCTGAATGTTTCCAACAATAATGACGATCTGGGCCAGGTCAGCTTTACTGTTCCTCCTAGAGGACAGAAGGGTAGGAGGAAGGGATAAAATAGGATGAAAACCAAGAAGAGGTGACTTGAAAGCAAGACTGGTTCTTGCTGGTTTTTGCTGTTCTGAAGATATTCTGTGTAGTTAAAACAATCACTTGAGAGTGTTTTTTAGACAGAGTGTGTTTTAGAGAATGTTTTTCAAGTTTCAAAAGTTTTTATATTTAGAGTTTCAGAGTGCTTTTATAGCTTTTTAGAGTGTTTTTATATTAACTTTTAATATTGGTTTTATTGTGGAAGAGTTCCCTGTAGCAAGATACTTTAAAAAACCTTAGAAGGAATCCATAATAAAGGAGTATCCATCTGTGTGAATGAGTTGCAGCAGATATGATGAAGTAATTCTTAAAATCCCACAGTTGCTGTTTTCCTTTTAACTGACATGTTCCTGTTTTAAATAAAACAGTTGAATGCTAGGTTTAAAGAGACATTCAAAGAATGCTGTCGTGTTATTAGAAATCCCTGGCTATGTCTAAGCAGAAAGGACAGTTGCATGACCCTGTCATACATGGCTAACTATGCCATATGAGTCCCTTGTTGGGATATGCTGTAAATCATCCTGAATGTTATCTTTCCCAACCCAGAACAGAGACAGAACGAGGGTTAAAATGTAAGTCTGGATACATTTGCTGCAGCTTATCATGAAGAAATGTGTTTATTGGCATTCTTTGAATGTAGATACTTGGAGTACTTAACAATCTCAAACTAATGAGGTCTATTAAATGGCCATGTGCTGTGATTCACTTTGAATTGGAGAAAAAATTCTATTCAAAAGCCTCTTAGTCTTATGAGGAAAATTTTCATTTAGTCCCAGGGTAATTGCTAAAGAATGTAGCTTTTTAATAGGATGCAATGATAGAGGAAATAGTGGGATGTGAAAGGAGACATCAGTTTTTACTAAAAAGTCTTAGTAAGGTATCGTAAAGGGAATATTTCTGTGCAGTCATTTTCACCATGAAAAATGTTTGACTTTATTGTGAGTTGAGCATAAACAACATTAACTGCATTCACTTTGCTCTCTGTTTTTTGTAGGAGAATTCACTCTGAATCCTTTATTCAAAGGCAATTGTACTGGTGTACTTTGTTAAGTCACTGCTACCACACCTGTTAGATATTTGCAGTAGTAGGTCAGGTGAACTTGGTCTACCTTTGCGCTTAGTTATTATGGTGGTTGTAGCCAACCACAGAGGTAAAACAATTAGCTCAAGGAGAATAAAGTACTAAAACATGCTACATACTTTTCCACTCATCTGACTATACCCTCACTACACAGGGAGAAAGGACAAGTATACTCAGGAAAGATGTTTTAGGTGAGATACCATCATTTGTGCCTATTATTTTCTAAAACTAGTGCTCCAGTGCCAATTCATGGATTTGTGATCATAGGGACAGGGATGCCTGCACCATGCCTTGCACTGCCAAACATTGCCCTGCATGGTAACTGATGTTCCTGCTGCTTGATCTCCTGAGCTGGACTTCTGTTGAAAGCTGCTTCATCCCTTTTCTGGCATCCTTCAAGACAGTGTTTGTACAAGGAGCTTGTTCTGTCAGGAAGCAGAAGTATGGGAAAACAATATTATATCTCCTGACCTCAGCAAAAAAGAAAAAGTATTTGGATTTGTTTGCATTTTTTAGTATTTGTCACAATGCCAAGCTATTTTAAGCAATCTGGCTACTCCATCTCTACTTTCCCTTCTCTGATACATCAAAATTATCACAAGCCACCTGAAATATGGGAATCAGATGTGAGTTTTAATGTAAATGTTGCACTTCAAGATGATAGGGATGGGAGGGGGAGCTGTTACTGCATCAGCCAAGACTCTCTAGTGGAAGTGTTGACTGATTACCTATCCCTAGGATGGAGGGGGAATACTCTTCCCCTTTCAGTGGGAAAGTCCTTTGTTCTGTTTTCTCCTTAGGTAGAGATCACAAATGATGTCCAGTCCTTACTACTGAAAATGCTGGCTGTCACGGTGGCCAAGGTGGTTATTGACTTGTTCAACATATCCCTGTACAGTTCCCTCCTGAAGCTGAAATGCATTCCCTACTTGGATGTGGTATCTTTTGCTCATTACAGAGTAAAATGGTGAGGTCTCTCATGTTGCTGATCCTCAAATTTTCTCTCTCATGTTCTTCACAGAGGCTGTATGGGTTCTCTGAAATGCAGAGCTTAGAGGAAAAAGGACTAAAAGGATCCTGAACAACTTCCTCATGGTGGGATATGCTGTAAAAGTAGAACAAAAGAGACTCCCTTTCTCTTCAAATTTATATTTGAATAGTATATATCCACAGCCAAAGCAGAACACTTCAGCTGTCTTTTCTCCCAGTATTGAGGTCTACTGACAATCTCTTGGATTCAAATGACCCTTTAGAAGAACAAAATATTGGTGACTGTTCACACTTTCTTCTAAATGTAGCCATATCTGAAAGCTTTTAAAAGGCCCATTGAATGGTAGGTATAATCTAACTGTATTTATAATGAGAGGAAAAATTGCCAGGATGTGGTAGGAGGAAATAAGAAGAATCTGTGACATTATGGGTGATTTCTATATGTACCATGGCAGATAAAACAGAGGTGAAGAAGCCATAAAGTTTCCCATGGTATTCCAATTAGATGACAAGCCCATGGAAAGAATTATAACTGCTTTCCTAGTTCAGAGTGAGGTCGTATTCACTTGAACGACATATCTATCTATCTATCTATCTATCTATCTATCTATCTATCTATCTATCTATCTATCTATCTATCATCNTATCTATCTATCTATCTATCTATCTATCATCATGGCTAGGCTTTGTGAATGAAGATTTGGGAAGGGCTTTACCCACGTTTGTTACAAATATATATATATATATATATATATATATATATATATATATATATATAATTTTGTTTTCCTCCCACTCCTTTATTTTTTCTCTCCAAACGCATTAAAGAAAGTTTCTGGATAACTTGGTCAGACTATACCAATACTCTAAAGCAAAATGTAGTATCACAACTTGGTAAAGATACTTTACAGGCTGCCAAGGTTTAGTCTAAATCTGCTTAGACATAGTCTGAATAGGCTGATACATATATGAAGTAGCAGATGTAGTTGCTAAGCTGCTCTTCATTATATTTAAAAAGTCATGACAGTCAGGTGAAGTCTTCAGTGACTGGAAAAAGGGAAACTTCACACCCATTTTTTAAAAAGGATAAAATGGCAGACCCCAGCAACTACCAACCACCCAGCCTCACCTTTGTGCCCAGTAAGATCATGGAACAGGTCCTGTTGGAAGGTGTGTCAAGGCATTTGGAAGATAGGGAAGTGATTTGAGACACCCAATATGGCTTCACAAAGGGGAAATTATACCTGACTCATCTAGTGGCCTTCTACGATAGTGACTGCATTACTGGACAAGGGAAGAGCTATGGGTATCATCCACTGACTTCTGCAAGGTCTTCAATACAATCCTGTATTGAAGGGACTTTTAACTAATTTGGAGAGGTAGGGATTTGTTGGATGGAATGTTTGATGGATAAGGAATTAGCTGTTTGGCTGCATCCAAAGAGTTGCAGACAATGGCCCAATGTCCAAATGGAGATTAGTAACAAGTGGTAACTCTCAGGAGTCCATACTGGGACTGGTACTGTTCCATATCCTTATTAATGACATAGACAGTGAGACTGTACCCTCAGCAAGTTTGCGGATGGCACAAAGCTGAGTAGTGCCATTGATATGCTTGAGGCAAAGGAGGCCATCCACAGGGACCTTGACAGGCTGGAGGAGTGGGCCATTTTGAACCTCATGAAATTCCACAAGGTCCTGCCCCTCCGCTGGGGCAGTCACCGGGATCACTAGAGACAAGGTAATGAATGGACTAAGAGCAGCCCTCCAGAACTGGGGATATTGGTAGACAAAAAAAATTAGATATGAGCTGGCAACGTATAATTGCAGCCCAGAAAACCAATTGTATCCGGGGCTGCATGAAAAGAAGTGTGACCAACAGGTTGAGGAAAGTGGTTCTCTCCCTTTACTCTGCCCCTAAGAGACCCCACCTGGCACACCGTATCCAGCTGTGGGGTCCTCAGTACAAGAAAGACATGGATCTATTGGAGTGGGTCAGAGGAGGTCTAAAAAAATGATCAGATGGCTGGAACACCTCTCCTGTGAAGAAATGCTGAAAGAGTTGTTGTTGTTCAACTGGAAAAAAAGACTCTGGGGAGACCTTATTACAGCTTTTCAATACTTAAAGGGGCTTATAGGAAAGATGGAGAAAGACTTTTTATCAGAGCCTGTAATGATATGATAACTGGGAACAGTTTTAAACTCAAAGATGATAGGTTAGGTTGGACATAACCGAGCCAGGTCAGATGGGGCTTTGAGCAACCTGGTCTTGTGAAAGGTGTCCCTGCCCATGGCAGAAGGGTTGAAACTAGATGATCTTTAAGGTTCCTTCCGGCCCAAAAGCTTCTGTGATTCTATGATTCTATGACACTGGTCTCTTCAACACACTTCTTGGATACTCTGTTACATTGCTATCCAAACATTTGTTAATCCTTCATTTGTTAAACAAATGAAGCGTCACCATTCAGCCATCTTAGACTTCTGGGATTTGGACTGATCCCTTGATCTCTTATAGATTGGGCATCCCAAACCCTGAATATTGACTCAAGGGAAGTCTGGATTTATAGTCTGTCTCTTAAAGTAAAAACTGCTATAATTGAAATTAATTATGAAGCCTAACATGCAGTCTTTGTAAGAATTCCCAAACCAAGATCTTATTGCTTTACCTAGCATGAGAAATACACAGATTAAACAAGACAGTTAAAAAAAAAATTAGTCTCTTTACATGTTTCCTTACCTTTGTTTCCTCATCACTTTTCTGAGCATCCTCGAAACTTGAACAGAAGTTCTTCAGCAGAAATTCTACAGAAAGGTGCCTGGCAATGACTTTTCTTTCCACGTGTTTTTCCTGCAAACCAAGATTTCTTTTTTTTTTTCCTCTCTGATCCTGCAGCTAATAAGATGCTGTGGGAGCCTGCCTGTTTGCTTCTTTAATCTTTCTTTTATCTCAGAGTGACCACCCAGTGTATATAAGGCTCTGCTGTTTTTATGTTACGCTTATTTGCTACACTTTGGGAGTATTTTTATCTTCAAATACCTATACCCAGACATCGTTTTGCAGAGACTGTCCTCTTTCTGTTGTGTCAGCTTGGTTGAGAGTTTGCTCTGGGAAAGCATTAGGTGACACAGTTATGTTTGTGCTGGGTTTTTCATCCCCTTTGTTGAGTATTATTCTGAAAGATCACAAAATGTATAAACTGTGCATTGCTGGATTCCCCAAATCATAACAGGACAGGGGTCAGCTGTGTGGGAACTGGTAGCTAGCATATATTTATAAACAGGTGATAAATTTTATTTGTGTATGCAGAATGAAAGATTCAGATAACTAAGAGCTTGCTTAAGTGCCATAGAAATGCCACATAAATTGGGATCCTTCTTCAACTGAAACTGAGAAGTCTTTGGAAAACAGTGCAGAGAGGAAAAATGAGAGAGGAAAAAGGAGACTTAAGAGAACACATATTTTTATGTCCTCAGCACTTATACTGTTAGAGAGAAAGTGTGGATCTTCCCTTTCCCAGTTCTTCATTGATGTTAAGAATGGAAAGACCTTCTGTATATGATAATTTTGTTGATTCCTGTTACATGGCTGGATAACATCCCCAGGCATAAGATGTGTTAGACACTGAATGGAGAAGTGAAAATAGATGTTAGATGAACAAGGTGGGGGCAGCATTAAGGACCAGCTCCACAAAGGAATTTAACTCCTAACTGCTGTAGAAGTCAATGGGTACATTAAGAAGCTACATTATGTACATGCTGACTCTGAAGCCATCTCTGTAAATAGTGTTATATACAAAATTGGTGGAAGTGAGACCTGGGTCCTCAGTGGTATTTCACTGCCTAATTTATATATAGGCACTGGCATCTCTGGATGCTCTGCTTCCTATGGAGCAGGAAGGCTTGAGATTTATTTTCTTAATACTCACTATGTTTTTGGAACCTCATTGATCACCCTGCCTGTTTTATTCTGTGCTCTGGGTGATAAGGCTCCAAGCACAGCTGTATCTAGTACAGGGCTGCTACAGTGGACTGTGATTTCCAGCTACATTGCACACCACTGTAAACACCCCCCTTATAAAATCTGGTTCTCTGGAACACTCAAAGCTGCTGGCTGCCAGGGAATGTTCTTTAATGAGGGTAAGGAGTACTTGAACACATCTATGACTTGGCAACCCTTCCTGCTTTTTATAAGCTACTATACACTTCAGAGAGAAAATATCTTAGAGGCTACTTTTTAATGGGACAAGTTTACTTAAGAGCTGAGTGGAGTTGGTGCCAGTAGTTCTGTTTTGTTCTAGCTTAATATTAGCCTTGTCAAAGTTCTTATAGTGTCTCCTGGGTGTTTCTCTATTGCATACCATATAAAGCTGGTTTTGGGAGCCAAGAATTTTGGCTGGAATATATATTATAGTGGTCTCATTATATTTTTCTAAAGTGCATCAGAGGTGGCCCTGTATTAAAGATCCATGGAGCATGGCTAATTTTTTTTTTTTCTCCCTTTTAGCTTTGCCTTAGCCCACACCACAGACATTGGATCCAGAATTTGAGCCAACCCAAGTTTGAGGGTTATTTGGGTTCCAAGGTCCTGGTTTGGCCTGTAATTAAATTTGGGGGTAATTAGTGATTTTTTTTTAGATGAGGCTTTGGATTTTGAAAATCACCAGACTTTGGGGATGGTACTTTTGGTTTGGGCCTAGGCTAGCAACTACTGTGCTAAAAGATTCCCTTCTCATCTTGCTGACACAAGTGATCATTCAAAGACAACTCACCATGTGGTACATCCTGTCTTGCCTCTTTGAGAAGCCAGTGTGTTTCATGGCTGCTTGGCGCTTTCATCCCGAGAGACATCATTAGAGGGTGGACTTGGCAATATACTTGCATCAGAGGGCATCCAGCCCATCTTTTGTAGAGTGCTTGTGGTGGAAGCTGGATCCGGTTCTGCCTGTACAAAGGAAAAAGGGGCTGTAACAAGGCCATG